ATTTTTTTTTACTTAAAGGCAAGGTTATTTAAGACTGAGCATATATTACACAACTTTTCTTAAATATTTCGAAAGCAGAGAGCATCACACAATGTCAGTCTTTGGCAGAACTTCTTTTTTGTGAGGGCACACACATTGGACAAGGATAAGGAACCTGTGTTCAACAAGCAACCGCTAAACATGCACCATGCAGGAACGTCATTAGGCCAGCTTTAAACAAGCCCCCCCCCAATATTATTTAGCACCCCAAATGAATGTACATTACTAGTTCAAATGATCAACATTATTTTGCAACAATTCTTCACTACTCAACTGTGCCATCATGTCTCCAAATTTTCAATATACTGTGATAGCCAAGTGCGAACTGGGGAAGGCACTGCTGCTTTAATTCACCACTGACCCTACCTGACATTTTCTAACATAACAACAGACAGCAAATCCTCTATGGAAGCATATTATCAAAATTAAAATAAAAAAGCAATATGTAAAATGGCAATATATTTGTGTGTTTAAATTTTAAATTTTTCTTTTCAAGTTTCTGAACCAAGCTTAGATAAAGGAAACTGAACCCCTCCCATGAGACGGACCAGTTTCCTCTTCTTCCAGTGACAGTCAAGATAGTTCTGATCAAGCTGATCTTGGTCCAACTGTTATACAAATAGCTCCGGTAGTAGCCAAAGAAGTAGCCAAAGAAGCAAAGTCATAGACAGATGGGGAAGTTACAGTAAAGAGTAAGCATGAGACCCTGAGCCCCAAGCAAATAGACAGCCTAGTAGAAGAGTTAACATATTGCCAACAGAATAAGACTCTGTATACTCAAAACTTTGTTTTTACATTTTTTCTACTGGGGGCTATTCTGATCATGCAACCATGAGTGGTGGGATGAGCAGTGAAATTTGTGTTGCTCAAACATTTAACAGTATGACTTCCCAAAGTGTCCCAAAATCTACAATGTCTACAATGTGTGGCTGCATGTAACTGCTGTACATCCCATGCAACAGGTAGTCAGTAAACCCAGAGAACAGATGATAACGAACGTCACTATTGCAGTGAAACAGGTCCTTGGTAATGTTTAAAACAAGTTTGAGGCAAAAAACTTGTCCAAGTCAGTGAATGGGGCTATCTTTCCCAAGGTTTACCCAAAATGTAACTCAATTTTCTGCCACTCCCACAGAGGTAGATCAATTAAAGTACTGGTAACTGCCATGGGAGCATATTTATATATGAGCAGGACAACGTTATATGTAAAAACTGCTGTGAATCATCACAAGCTGTTTAATAACTTGAGCCATGGTTAGGAAATCTTTCATTGGTTGGGTTAACTGCTAGCTAACTGTATTTAGAAAGTGAGTTTAAGATGAGCTAATTACAAAACTATCGAGTTCATGTAAATCAGTGAGAATTTATGCTACTATCCATTTTCTAGTCTTGATAATAGTACTTGCCTCACCTTAGCTAGCCTACTTCAGATCAGTTAAATAATTAAATGTTTTGTAAAGTCTTCTGTTGGTCAGAGTTTAGAACAAAGGGGAAAAATATTGGCCTGGAATAACAGGGGAAATTTGTCTTTGTAATAAAGTAAAAAAAGATGTGCGCATTAACAGCATCTCAAATAGCTTTTATTTCTAAATTGGTTGTTTTAAATTCGTTGTGTAATAATACACATCACGTATGAGCTGACATTAATGATGTAGACTAACTGGGATAGTTGCTGTATTATGGATTTTGTACCAGATTAATTTTAACTCAAGACTTTTGGTGATCTCCATGAAGGGAGACCAATCATTTTGCTAAAACAGAAAGTGAAATATAATTACACATCAGGGCAGATAAAAAGTTCATGTAAGTTTTTATTTGTAAATGTATGTCCTAGTCCTGCAGGCCTAGTCCTCTCAGGAAGTTTATCATATGGCAAACAAGCATGTATACACCAATAAAGAGCACACATAGAAGGAAATCTGTTTAAAGTAAGATGCAAAGGCATCTTCTCTTTGGTCAGATGAATAATCTTTAATTATGATGGTGGTGAAAAATATTTAGAATAGCACCTTCCAAATCAGATGCAGGCCCAGATCATCCAATGCGTGCGTGCCATGGGGCCTGCTCAATTAGGAGGCCCCTGTAAGTGCTTATGAGAAAATCTAAACAGCTATTTTAACTCCCGGAGTTAAGAAGTGGGAACTTTACTGGCAGCACAGTGGGAAAAAATAAACTAATTTGACATTGTGTAACAGCCGATCATAATCCAGATGCTTTCCACGTCTATCCTAAATGTCCTCTTCATGTTCTCCTCTAATTACTGCTTAGCAACTGTTTCCAAAGCCAAACATAAAATGTCAAAATATAAATGTTGTCAGTTTCAGTTTTTAAGTTTGTTGTTTTTTTCTGTCTTCGTTTCCATTCTGCTATATGAATATATTAATTTATACCATTTTCATTGGGGTAAAAGATTTGCTTGCTAAGAGTGGATGCATGCTTTATATAGAAGTGCTGCATTGGTTGTTGTGTTTATGCTAACTTGTGCTCTCATTAATGTGTACGTAATCTAAAAACACCACACTTATAGCAGTGACATGATTGGTGTGCTGTTGTCATGGTGCTGCATAGGTCTCGTGTAACCTGCTGTGATATCAGAAAAAGATCTCTGACCACCCAAAAGAGGTAATCAGGTAGGAGCCCACCACATATTTGTGCCCAGAGGCCTATAACATGATGATCGCTGCCTGACTAGAGGTGAAACAGTTTTCAAAAGATGTTGAGTTAATCAGTATTACATTTAATATGTGATTTTCATTACACACCAACGTATGTGTGTTGTATGGGCAGGTAGCGATAATCCTAATTTTTTAACATGAAAATATTGTGCTAATAATTTTGATATCGTCAGGCCTAGTTGTCATTTTATATTGTAGTTTGCCAACTTAAAACAGTGCAATAAAAATCTTTTCAACAAGTCCCCAATGAGCCAACCTACACCATATATAGATATGTGTATGTATGTATGTATGTATGTATGTATATATATATATATATATATATTATATATAATATAATATATATAATATATAAATATACACACACACACTCACAATTAGTCGTTATTTGGTAATCCGCCACACCTGATCCAGTCATCCCAAGCCTGAAAACAAGCTCCTAAATAGTACCAGGAGTATCTACACCATGTTCCAATTATTATGCAAGTGATATATCAGTAGGATTTCAGTAAAATGAGCATTAAGGCTTTAGTTTTTCAAAAAAATCTGACCTTCTTGTACAAAGACCTTAACATGGTCAATGTCAGAATTTGCCTAAACGAACTAGCGACTTAGCAATAGAAGAGAATTGTTATTATTTCTTGTTTATTTTCATAACTTTTCTTTCTTCTATTTTTTACTTTCTTCTACTTTTTTAAATTCTGAAACTTTGTTATTTATGTGTAGGTAGTGGGAGGTCTGGTGCCAAGGCAGGAAGGCACATGGCTGAGGCAGCTGAGACAAAAGGGCCTGGTGGCCTGTCTTGCCGCTCTCTAGAGCAGTTTTTAACCAAGGCCTCAATGTTCCTGTCAACCTTTGGCCACCAGACCAGGTCTTGGCAATGCTGCTTAAGCTTCACAACGCCCAGGTGGCCCTCATGCACCATATCTAGAACATGTGCACAGAGGGTGCCAGGGACCACTGCGCAAAGTCCGCACACCACACAAACCCCATTCTAACAGGAAAGCTTCTGTCCGATTTAGAAAAAGTCCACTGAATCTTATTTTCCTTAAAATAACTGCTATTTAAATCACAGTCACAACATTTTTCTAACAATTATTATATTACTTATTGTTCAAACCACAAGAACAGAGCACAAGTGGCTGTCCCAAAAAACAACCCTTTAGCATTCTGTTTTACAATAAGTAACTACTTAAACAAAGGAAAAAGAACAGAAAACTAGAAAATAAAACAATTTAACACACTTAATATCTACATGTATCACAACCAAAACTATAAAAATTAACCTTACTTCATCTGTTTCTTTATAACTGAATGGTTTGATAGTATGAATTTAAATCTATCAGGGAACTAATGCTTGGCCAAAAACACGTCCAGCAGTCCATGTGGCAAAATCAAAATGCTTTGCTTTGCTATTAATGTATTGCTTGTCTGCCATTATAAGAAGAACATCTTGGTTCCTCTCAAGGTTTCTTCCTCTTGCTTTTACGGAGTTGCCCCTGTCGCCACTGGCTTGCTCATGGGGGCTTGGACCCAGATTTTTCTTTAGAGCTGCTATGTGACATCGCCTGTTGTAAAAAGCGCTAAATAAACTTTGACTTGACTTGACTATGAGTGTCGGCAAAGAGTCGAAACAGGCAGATAATGTGGACAGTACTGCACTGATGTACTGCAAGAAGAGAAGCAAGCATGCTCTGATAAAAATACTGTTTCACCAGTAGCAAATTGAAGCAGGGTTTCTTTGTATGTGAGACTCACAATTATCTGTCAAAACAAACCATACTAAAGAAAAAGTCTGACTGGTGTCATCAAACAGGGTGGGTGTGAAAGCACATCTATAGACAGTAGATTTCCATTCAAAACCTACTGAAAAATGCCTTAGAAACGGGCTTATTAAGGCCAGCAGTATCAAGTGGAGATACAAGCATTCTCTCAAATTACACAAAAAACATGAATAAGTACAATTAAATAATATCTTGTTGATAACATATTTTAGAAACAAAACAATTCAGATTTGCATTAATAACTGCAATAATAAACCTCCCTGAAGTACAATTAGTAAGTAAGCTTTAGCTAGGACAGCATACGCTTTAAGCCAGCCATTTAAATGTCAATTTGCTTACATGTTAACATTTAACACAACAATGTCAAACTACAGTAACTTAATTGCCTCAAGAGACTGATTGAAGAAGGTAATGTTTATTAGTGGTTTAATATTTCATGCAAGTGGGCTTATAGGATACATGGTTTTATTTGGGACTTTTCTCTATGTTGACCTGAGCTCACCTCTCTTGTTTAAGGGCATACTCCAGCATTTTTATCCGCCTCACCAGATCTTGCTTCATGTTCTCTTGCCCTTTTCTCTCTCCCTGTAGGAATGCCACCTGTGCCTGAGACCAGAAAAAAAGCAAAAAAGATAGAATAAGAATACACAGAGAAAATAAAAAAACTTTTAGATATTTGCCACAGATCCTGAGTACACTCAACACTGCTGACATTCAGTTTGGGTCCTAGAGCATTAATTATACAGCCCTGGCAACCCACATTATTAACTTTCCACTTCTGCTGACCAAAGCTCTATGAAAATAACACTAAAGAAAAACCTAGGGCTCCAAAAGGAAAAATCAAAGATTTTCCAGTTAGTCATGGCTTAACACAAGGTTTAGTCCTCCACTCATGCCCACTGCCTCTCAAGTCACTGAAAAAGTAAACTATGTACAGGACCACAGCATATCCCTCTGATCAACTAAACATTGTTTCAATGCCAAAAGAGAAATCACAAATATATACTATATGGACAAAAAAGTATTGGGACACACTTCTTAATCACGGAATTCAGGTGTTTCATTCAGTCCCATTGCCACAGGTGTATAAAATCAAGTATGTACACATGCAGTCTGCCTTTACAAATATTTTTGAAAGAACAAAACAGAACAGAAAGAGCTCACTGAATTCAAATGTGGTACTGCAATAGGATGCCACCGTTGCAGAAGTCAGAATCGCACAATTTCTTCCCTCCTAAGATATTCCACAATCAACTGGGTGGTATTATTGAAAAGTGGAAGTGTTTAGGAACCACAGCAACTCAGCCACGGAGTGCGAGACCACATAAAGTTAGTCACCATGCTCCGCTGACCATGCTCCGTTTGAGTTTCAAACCTCCTCTGGCATTAACATCAGCACAAAAACTGTGTGCTGGGAGCTTCATGGCATTGGATTCCATGGCCGAGCAGCCGTATGCAAGCCTTACATCACCAAGCACAAAGCAAAGTGTCGCCTGGAGTGGTGTAAAGCATGCAGCCACTAGACTCAGGAGCAGTGGAAACATATTCTGTGGAGTGACGAATTACGTTTCTATATCTGAGTCTGATGAACAAGTCTGGGTTTGGAAAGTGCCATGGGAATGTTACTTGCCAGTCTGCATTGTGCAAACTGTAAAGGTTTGGCCTAGGCCCATTAGTTCCGGAGAAGAGAAATCTTAATGCTTCAGTATACCAAGACATTTTGGACATTTGTATGCTTCTAACTTTGTGGAAACAGTTCGGGGAAGGCCCTTTTCTGTTCCAGCATGAATGTGCCCCAGTGCACAAAGCAAGGTAGGTTGGGCACATGGATGGTTTTGTGTGGAAGAACTTGAGTGGCCCACAGAGAGCCCTAATCTCATCCCCATCAAACACCTTTGGGATGATCTAGAATGGAGATTGCAAGCCAGGCCTTCTCATCCAACATCAGTGTGTAACCTCACAAATGCTCGTCTGTATGAATGGGCAAAAATTCCCACAGACACACTCCACAATCTTGTAGAAAGCCTTCAGAAGAGTGGAAGCTGTTTTAGCTGCAAAGTGGCAGACCGACTCCATATTGATGCCTGAGGATTTAGAATGGAATGTCATAAAAAGATCCTGTAGGTGTAAAGTAGTTGTCTCAACACTTTTTGTACACACTGTCTGAAGTTTTCGTCTTTTTTTTTTTTGCACTAGAGGCTAATGTAGCTAACAAGTAACAGGTAATAAAACCTATTAATCACTCACAAGCATCAAGCAAATTTCATGCTTATATCACATAATTAACTCGAACCACATCCAGTTATGTTGTTAAGTAATCTTAAATAGACTTGCTTGTGTGGTTTGTTATATTGTTGTTGTTGTTTGTTTTTTTTTAAATAAAATAGACAAGAGTACAGGCAAAATTCAAAAAGATGGCTGCTAATGCTGTTTTTAGCCATTCTGCTTTTGTCTTTTTATAGACAACATTATGTCATATAGTGTCAGAAATCACAAAAGCAAATCTATTTGAGATTGCTTAACAACTTCACACAATTTGAGGCAAATGTGTAAAGATTTAAATATACTGTTTGCACTAGTGTATGGCTGTTAGCTTCCATTACTTGTTAGCTACATTAGCTTTGTAGCATCAATGATCAAATACATAAACAGAAATTGTATTAACGTAATTTTAAAGCACTATTAATTTTTTTTCAAGTGCTACTTTAAAACGTATTTTTTACCAGACTGTTGCTTTAAGAATTATGCAATATTACTACATTTTATTTAGCTAGTTATATAATAAGATTTTGTAAGTCTAGTCATTTTGTCAGTTTACATCAGCTTAGTGTCTTTTGTTTACTTCATATTCTCTTTATATTCCTGATAAATAGCATCAGTGCTCACTACTGTAATTGTGTTCAACATCCTCTGTAACACACACTTTAGTACGTAACACTATTTTCTTTAACTATTTCGTGAACTATAAGAGGCAGTACATTAGCATAAATCCTTGATCTAATGTGTGTATTTTTGTCTCGAGTTTATTGTTGTATTTATTAGTTATGGTACTAGTTTATTTTTGCTCTGAAAAACAAAAATACTTCCTTAAAAACAGTTACAGTTTCAAGAGATAATTGGTCAAAACAGAAATTTTAATAATTAGTGAATTGAATAATTTTATGTTGAATACATGCTATAAACTTTTGAGGTATGTGTTATCTAAAAATGTTCTGGTAATGATATTTTATCATGACTTTTGTCTTGGAGGGAGACAATCTATACATAAAAGCAGATAATGTCATGAACTTTACCCAAAAATCAAAAACTTTTTATGATGACAATTTTAGGGGAAAAAATGTTTGTGAGAATGACTTACGTGAAACGTAAGTTACCAGGAAAGGTAAGACTGGAAAATGTAATGAAAGACTTTATATTATGATGACAATGAAACATCAGCACTTAAGACAATGGTAGGTTCATTAGTTAATTTTAAACTACAAATCTCTGTTCTTAAAAGTGACAGTGTAAAAAATTCAAATGAAAACAGAAAGCAATGATTAGTGCAACCATTTTGACCTGTCTTTGAACAGTATAAAAGACAAAATATTTAAAGTTTTACATTATCAAATTCCTTTATAATGTAAAATATTAAAATGTGTCACACTAGGAATGCTGTGAAAACGTCAATAAATATCTTAAACAGATGATTCATAATAGGATATAAAAGGTACACCTAGAAAAGTCCTGGTCCTTCATGAGAAGGATGAGTTGAGGCTTCTGCTCTTTGACAGCGTTATCAAGCACTGCATTTTATGTCAATATCTTACAAGCCTTGTGCAGAATTTAAATCCATTTTGAAATTTTCTGGCTTAAAGTGTTTTGAACATACAAGAAAGTTTTTCTGTACAAATGCATGTCCATGCTTCAACAGCACAAGTCGTAATATTGACTAACTCAGAATAAAAACTTTCCACAGAAATCGCAGACCTTTACGAAGTTGCAAAGCTAAATGACCAATGGTAGATAAGGGGGCATGCATAGTCTAACATAGCCAACGTAGCTCCCACCGGCCCAAATTAACTTTGGCAAATGTAAGAATCAAGCTACATACACCAATCAGGCATAACATTATGTCCTTGTTTTTACGCTCATTGTCCATTTTATCAGCTCCACTTACTATATAGGTGCACTTTGTAGTTCTGCATTTACAGACTGTAGTCCATCTGTTTCTCTGCATACTTTGTTAGTCCCCTTTTACTCTGTTCTTCAGTGGTCAGGACCCCCATGGACCCTCACAGAGAAGGTACTATTTGGGTGGTGGATCATTCTCAGCACTGCAGTAACACTGATGTGGTGGTGGTCTGTTAGTGTGTGTTGTGCTGGCCTGAGTGGATCAGACACAGCGGTGCTGCTGGAGTTTTTAAACACCTCAGTGTCACTGCTGGACTGAGAATAGTCCATTAACCAAAAATATCCAGCCAACAGCGTCATGTGGGCAGCGTCCTGTGATCACTAATGAAGGACTAGAGGATGACCAACACTGTGCAGCAGCAGATGAGCTATCATCTCTGACTGTACATCTACAAGGTGGACTGACAAGGTAGGAGTGTCTAATAGAGTGGACAGTGAGTGGACACTGATCCACTCGTACCAGCACAACACACACTAACACACCATGGGCATGTGAAGTTTGTAACAGGCACATACAAATTATGTATCCAATATGTATCTACATGCAGTTTTACCATGATTCTTCTGGAAAGGTCTGAATTTCAAACCTGTTTCCCAACATTACTGAACCAGCATGTTAGCCTATCTGTTGACTTTGTCTAGTGAGGGCAAAATATAATTCAGTTTCAGAGAATATAAAGTGTAAACCAGTTAAACAGAGTCTGCAACAGCAACTAAAAATGTTCAACTGGCAGTTCTCCATTTGGGTTCATTTTAAAAACATGGATTTCAAGCAATAAAGACCATCATGGAGCTTCCTGCTGTACAATGCTGTGCAAACCTCACCTGCATGCCACTGACCTTCCTGATGATACTGCTGCATGCACAGCATGCTATTAAGCACAGCAAACTATTTAATTAAAGCCATTGCTTAACCTTCTTGTCCCCTTTTCTGTATTTATGTTATACTACTGGTACAACCTTACTCTTTGTTTATCTCTTGTGTTTTGCTATCCGGTGTTGAGGAGGATGGATTCCCCTTTTGAGTCCTGTTTCCTCTCAAGGTTTCATCCTCTAGCTCTTAGGTTTTTCCTTGTCACCGTTGGCTTGCTTATGGGCCTGGACCTGGATATTTCTGGTAAGCAATTTTATGACAAGACTTGTTGTAAAAAGCGCTATATAAATAAACTTTGACTCGACTTGACAATAACAGGCTTTTTCATGCATTGGTAGAAGGAGAACATCTGAGTTCCTTTCAAGGTTTTTTCCCCCTCTTTATTTAGGGAGATCTTCATTGCCACTGTCACCCTTAGCTTGCTCATTTGCTTCTTGGATCTGGATTTTCTGTAAAGCTACTTTGTGACCACACTTACTGTGTAAACACTATATAAATAAAGCTTGAATTTGTTTGAATATTTTGAGCATCGTCATCCTTTTGGACAGAAAAACTGGAC